GTTATATCTCACTTAAAGTCATTTTTAGGTAGCACTCCCTAATGTCCTGTTAGCATCTCTCCAAAGTGTGTTTGGCAGCCTGGGCTCTTTATTCAAGCTGCATTTACAGCTCTTCCTCCTTCCATTCCTGCTGAACAAGAGCATGTAGATGCTATTAAATCTGTCATTAATCTCATCAGTCAGCAAATAGAGATGAAGAACTCTGCTCTCTTGGAAAGGTTCTACATATTTCTCTCTCACAATCAGCTCAGATGGTGACATGGAAAGATAAAGGAACAGGGACCTTAAACAAACAGCTCCCGAGGATCAAGTGGAAGTTTTACCCTGAGAGAGAAAAAACAAGGCTGTTGAAACCACCCCATCTAATCTATTTAACTCAGCTTTTGTCCCAGGGCCACAGCAGTGGAGGTCTTAAATAAGAGTCTAGAAAAACATGTGCATCTGTGAGTTTAGTGGGAATCCACCTTCACTAAGTGCTAGGAATGTGCTGGGCAAAAGCAACACTTCCAAAGTGTTATTTCAAGGCTTGAATACCCCGAGAATTTCTTCTCCAGCACAACCTTTTCCCCTCAGGAGGGGGAGACACAACTGCAAAGGCCTTTGCAGTGCTGCTGTTGTAGAGGATGGCAGAAGTTTGTGGGTATTAAAGGTACCATGGATGAAGGAGGCCTGATCCTACACACCCTGAGGTGCCTTCAGGGTGGGAGTTCCATGTTCTTCCCAGTGTTCAGGGTTGCTGAAGAGTTACAAATGCCTCAGAGAACAAGGGCACGTTGCCAGAGGGAGGATGGGAAAGCACAGGGACAGTTGTGGGAATGGGAAGGACCCCGGAGCAGATTCCAGGTTATCAGTGGTGTCAGCAGTGTCTGGGGCTGTTGTGCTAACAGGGACAGTTAATGGACTACAGGGATAACTGGACAAGAGCCAGGGAGTGACTGGGAAGGACAAAGGTCTCCCACAAAGACAGGACATATATAAATATATGTAGCACAAAGGGGGACAGACAGGAGGGGAAAGGAGAATGTGAGAGACTGGGTTTAGCACTACGAAAGGTGCTACCCTGGAACCACAGCAAAACTGTATTTTCCATTTAGAAAAACACTGGAAAGGAGGCAGTGACAAGCTGAGCTTCTCACAGTAACTTAAAAGGTCTGTTTGGTTAAACAGAGTTATTGACAGGAAAGATAATCCAGAGGTGACCCCGTTCATTAAAAACAAATTAATCAGTCCCTGTTGTCTGTACTCAGACCAACAGCAAAACATCTGCTGTGGTGCATTTTGCTTTTCTGGGGGTTTTTTTTTACTCTTTTCCCTCCTGTAACACAGTTTCCCCCTCATGACCTCTCAGCATCCTCCTGCTTACGCAAACGTTGCTTCCCAGCTCACAGCCTTGGGACAAAGGCAACCCAATTCCATGCTGGTCTGGAGCCTTTGGAACAGCTGTTGTCCAATTCCTGGCATGCAATGTGCCCTGACTCCAAGCTCATGGGAAGCTTTAAAAACATATGGGGCTGCTTTGGGGATAAGAGGCTTCCTACCTGGCCGGATGAAGACGTTTTCCACGGACAGCATGGCTGCAATGGGAAGCAGGAGATCCTCACAGTCAAGGGAAGCAGCTTTTATGACAGCACAGCTCAGGTTGGGAGGGAGGGGAAACTGCACCAGGAATTCTCCCAGTCTTGTCACATGGCCTCTCCTTATCCCAGGAAAAAAGACAGAAACACCAGATTCATGTTTCAGTGTTAAAGGGGGGCATGCACACCTAAGTCAGCCACCACATCCCGATTAAGGGCATGGAATAAGCATTTCCCTCTGGATGTGTGTGCCCAGACAGGTGCTGGAGACACGAAGAAGTGTCCCCAGCTTGCCTGTGCCTGCTCCATGCCAGGCACAGCCAGCTTTTATTTAATTCCTGCAAGAAGAATTCCTGGAAGCTCAGGATAAGATCTTGCTTCCTGCCTTGAGTTCTTGGATGGACCTCACAGCTAAAGCCCAAATTCCTCCATCACAACAGTCTGGGATCTGGCTTCAGGAGCTCCAGCACTGGGTTGAGGTAATTTGTCTGAGGTCACTCAGGAACTCCAGGACAATGTGGACAAATTGATCTGTATCTCTCAATCCCCAAGCCCAGCTCTAACCCTGATTTTACAGCCTATATTAAACCCCAGTAGTAACTTCCTGGAAGCTAAATGAGGAAACATATTCTACTGCTGGGGAAGTCCTTTAGTCCACACAAACAAACACTGACCCCAGGTAAACCATTAAATTCCTGTAGTGACTACACCCCTTTATTTTTTACCTGTCAATAGCACTGCACTGGTAAAGTTCCTTGAGAGCTTCTAAAATATGTCTTTCTTCAGGGGGGTCCAAATAGGGAAATCTGTAGAAAAAAAATGAAGTAAAAAAAAAAATATCTGTTCAGACCCAGAATAGCTTTGTTAATTTTCATATTTATTAAAATACTTCTTTCACCTCCCAATACAGGTTTTTGACCAAAGTGCACGTAATCATCTGCAGCATAAGGGTGTGTTACTGCATGTTCTGCCTCAAGCTGGGGAATTATGATTGATGACAAATCCCAGCATGGCACACACAAAGCTCAACTGTATTTTCTGCACTTGTATGATCTTAAAATTAAACCATCCCACAGAGATGAAGCTTTTGGGGCATAAACATCAATATTTTAAAGGAATGCTACAAACTATATATTGAATTTTGGAGCGAGCCAGTTTTGGCAGAACCCCAAACTTGAGCTCAAGATCCAACCTGGAATTACAGGCTGGGGAGAACAGCAGAAAAGCTGATTGAATTGAAGTGTCACAGTTGGCTGGGGAACCTAATCCTGCCTCCTGCCAACAGGCTCCGGGTGCCGCGCTGCCCAGACTCGGGGAGACGGGGATAATCCCCTGCCCAGAGGTCACCTGATGACATCATGCACGGAGAGGCACTTCAAGGTCAGGATGACAGATGTCAGGCTGGTCCTCCTGATCTCTGGGACGGTGTGGTCAGGCATGCACTGCTCCCAGAACTCCCTGCTGTACAGCCGGTAGCTCTTCCCGGACGAGGTCCTGCCGGCTCGGCCAGCTCGCTGCTTCGCCTCGCTCCTTCCAGAAAAACCAACATCCAAACTCTGAATCCCTTCTAGTATTACCCACGGGGTGATTATGACAAATAACAACAATTTCTGTGCTTGCAGGCAGAAGGTATTTTACTGTGCAGCAGCTGAGAATTCCAGCTGGACGAGGACGGGCAGGAGCAGCGTTTCTGTGCACGGAAGATTTTTTTAAGCTTCTCTGAATCAGGTTGTTGTATTCAAACACAAGAGGACATGTGAGCCCCTGTTCAGGCTGCAGACAATGCACTGTCAGTTCCTTCTTAACATCTGAAACTTATAGAAAATTATACATCCTGAACCACTTCCTACGTAGCAACAAATGAAACGGCTTTAAATCACAGAACCTCAAGGCTGCTCCTCATCTTTTTATTGACTTATTTTTTTTTTAAAGATCCACCAATACATGGTGTTGTCACAGCAACTCCCAGGAACACCAAGACATGTTTAAAAACTTACTTTGAAATGGGAACCACCTCCAGTATGTCCAAGCCAACTCGGGGGTTGTGATTCAGCTGCTTCACAAACCCGCTGTCTACGACGTACCTGAGCAAAAAGATTGAGAGAGGGAAAGGTCAGAGCTCTCAGCACACACACAGGTACCACAGGGTTACTCAGTGAAGCCAAGCTTTGATTTCAAATTAGGGCCCAAAACCATCAGTCATCTCTAAGACTATATAATGGTATTAAGGGTTTTTTCACCACACACACAAGAAAAAGGCAACAGGGCAGGTACAGAAATGGAAGGAAGTCAGAACTTCCTGAATTATCCCCTCTGCCACAGCTTTTCTGAAGGACACAAAACAATACCTGACTCCTTCGATGGTCAGAGATGTTGCAGCAATGTTTGTGGACACCACACATTTTCTAATGCCTGTAGGAGCTGGCAAAAATATCCTTTTCTGTTGATCTGAAATGACAGGGAGCCAGTCAAACAGTTTATGTTACAGGCACTGATTTCCACCAAATTCACTCAAATGCTGAGTGAAAGTCACTTGAATGACATTAGAAAGTGAACCACACAACATCCTAAAATATGGAATTGGTGTTATTTTAGCAAATGCCAGAAATCAGATAATATTTTCTTTACTGCTCAAATATCCCAGATTTGGAAAAAGGCCAACTCTCCTGGCTGTTTCCTAACCAGGAAAACAAACAAGATGTCTGGTCTGAACAGAATCTTCATGAAGGATTTGAAGGGTTTTAACCACCAGAGCAAATGAATGTGAACATTAAAAAAAAAACTAATTAACTCCCCCATGTTTCCAGCAAATCTTCATTTAACATGTACCAAAACAGCACATGCAGTTCCCATCCATTCATTTGGCTTCCCAAGGAACAAAAAAAAGAGGTGGAAATTCAACTTTCCCCTGAAATTTTCTCACTTACTATTTTTGAAAAATATAAAAATCTCTTCAAGGAAGATTTTCTAATGTGTCCTTAGACATATTCAAATACAACGTCCTCTGAGGAACTACCACAAAATAAAAATAAAATAAAATATCTCAGTCAGGAATCAATTTCATGGAATAAGGAAGAAGCTACGCTTTTCTTTTATGCAACTTTGCTCTTTCCAAAAGATCAGTTTTGCTCCCTCTGCAGATCTTTACAAGACCTCAGCAGCACTTTTAGGGGGAAATTGCTGCTCTGCTCTTCTGAGCACTCACTCAGCCCCTTGGCAGCCTCCAAACTGCACCCACATATTCAAACACTGCCCTCGAATTCATCTGAAAATACAGCAAAGGTCAAGAGGGTTCTGGTTTTAACTCTTTGGAACTAACTGTGGTACTGCTGCCAAACAAAACAGAGTGCCTGCCTCTGATAACCTGCACCTTCCTACACTGTGTGACACTGCACCACTGCTATCTTCCCTTCCAGCTCCGCTCTCATCACCAAAAACCTCCTGGCAACGTTTTTTCCACCTAAAACAAAAAGTGAGGCCACCTGAACTTCCAGTTACACACCATCCCCTCCCTAAGCTGAGGATCCTGATGCCATGTGAGGCCACATCCAGTGGATATGAATTTGAACTGGAGGCTGCAGTGCAAGCCCAGAGAAGTTTGATTAGTTTATGAACACCACCAAAAAACCCAGTAGTGCCACAGTATTGTAACAAATGGGTTAATTAACGGCATTTTTTCAGAAAGATTTGATGAGGATGCTGTTTGTAACAACTCCTGCAGTTCACATTGGTGTGAATTAAGCTCCCTGTGACATCATAAGCTCTTACCTGTTGACATTGAGCCATACAGAGGTAGGATAAGCAATCCCTCCACGGCCTGATCGTGCACCTCGTAGCGGTAATCAATAGACTCTGCTTTCTTGAAGAGCAAGTCACAGGCTTTTTCTATCTCAATTTGACCTAAAGACATAGAAGAGCACTGAAGTAGTCACGACTCTGCCTTCCTAGTTTGCAACATCTTTAAACAAGACTGGTTTGTCAATATTACAGAGCTGTCAACACCATTAAAAGAAGGGCGTAATGAGAGTTAAGTTTAGGAGGTGACATCCAGCCTTTCCACAGTGCCTCTCACCAAGGCTGTTCCTGAAAGGATGAGTACCTAAGGGCCTGGCCTATACATTGATGTAATTCCCCCTTCCTGAATTAACAACAAAATAAAACATGCAGACAACACAGAGTCAATCTGGCACAAGAAGGGAAGAGAATATGCAAATTTTCAAGTTAGTGATTTTCTTATCTGGCCTCAGGGGTACAGATATTCCTAAAATGCTCTGAAAATGATCACTGTGTGCATCAACCCCCACCTTTCCCTTCTCCACTCACTGCTCTGGGACAAAGCAGACAGTCTGTTTTGCTGGCAGTGTCATGGAATAGCCTGGAATCACCATGGGTGGTGGAAGGAAAAATTCGCACCTGTCAGGAAGACCAAGATGTCGCCTTCTGGTTCATTCAGGTGGACATCCAGTGTGACTTTCACAGCCTGGAACAAACAACAGACAAGCCAATAACAGCTGCAACCTTTCTCAAACTCATCATACTAATTATTTCTTCCCTATTTCCTGCAGGGATGCTCAGATACGCAATCCAGCACCTGATTCCTGTGGTCTGTCCCAGATTAAATCACACCAAAACCAGAGAACACGCCCAGAAAACAAAGCCACCAGACCTCTGTGACATAGGCAGAGCTGCCCACGTCCCTGGGGCTCAGCAGGTTGCAGAATATCTCCTTGACAGGGTAACTCCTCCCTGGAATGTGCAGCACTGAGCAGTGTCCAAAGAACTCGGAGAGCTTGTCCACCTCCAGGGTGGCCGACATCACCACCACCTTCATCTCCGTCTTCCTGTCCGGGGCTTTCTTCTGTAGAAAGAGTTTCTTCAGCAAACCAAATAAAATATCCTGAGAGAAAAACAGAAGCAACTGATGTTAATATCCCAGCTTTACTAGAAGTGCCTGAAGCACTTGGAAGGGACCGGTTTTTGCCAATGAAAATCCCGTATTCCAGGCCTAAGCACTCAGAAGAAAACATATTTTTTACCCTGGTCATTTTGTAAGCACACTAATTGGTTTATAGAATTTAATTCGTTTTTATCAGCTCTTCTCACAGCCCATAGACAGAACCAGTATACCTTAAATTCCTTTGTTTTTCATGTTTATACTCTCGTGGTCAAGTCATTTGCCAGCAGTCACCTCAGACCCATTTTTCACCCCATTTTTCAGCGTTTCACCTGACTGTGTGTGCACCCTCCTTTGTTTCACCACTTATTGTGATGATTTCAGCAAGTTCATTTTACTCTGGGGTGCTCTGGATTAAAAACCTGCTCCTTACAGGGACACAGGTGACGGAGCAGTAACTTCTTAAATCACCTTACTCAGTTTATGTGCCATACCCTCAGATGCTTGAGGGCAGAACTGGGATTCAGAGAACATTTTCCCCTTTCCACAGCTGGGCTGGCAGGTTGTTTGCTGGAGCAGCAGATTGTCTGACACACAACACAATCTCTTGAGGACTCAGTGACCTGAGTGTCCCTGTGCTGCCCACAGAAGGGTCAGGGTGACTTCTGAGAGCTTTTGGGACTTAGGTCAGTCTGGACACTTCCATGGTCCTAAAAGCCATAATCTCTTTGCACAGTTGTGAACACACCCTTAGAAACAGTAGAGCAAGAAAGATGTTTCAGGGTGTTGTTAGTGAGTGGAAAAATAAAGATTCTAGAAAGTTTGTGTTCACTGTGCTGGCTTCAAACTCCTGGAAATGTTGGGAGAGCATCCAACAGCCAGGAAAGTTGCTGGAATGCTTTCAAACACAACAACAGCTATGCCAATTCCAACAGGACTACAGGTCACATCTTATTTTCAGATTATTGAGCATGTAATAAAGTTCTACAGTCTTAGGACAGCAAAAGGCAGTCAAAATCCCTGGGGATTGTGCAGAAGTGAAAGGAAGGTATAAGCAGACCACAGGAAAGGAGAAACAGTGACCCCAAAGGACAGAAATAAGGTGACACTCACAGTGCTGAGGCTGCGCTCATGGGCTTCATCCAAAATGATGATGCTGTACTTGCTGAGGAGGGGGTCTGTCAGGATTTGCCTCAACAGGCAGCCATCAGTCATATACCTGATGGCAGTGTCCTGAAAGGTTTAATCAGACAATCAGCTGTTATCCTGGATTATCATTTCAAAGTCAAGCAAACACTTAGATCATCACATCTTTTCCAGGACACACTCTCAGACTGCACCAGGGGTGATCATCATGCACCACACCACAGGTGCTCGGCAACGTTTCACTTGCAAGGGGTTCAAAAAACTTCATGAAATAACTTATATGATGCGAAAAACTTCACCAAATGAGTTATACAACACAAACAGCTGCAGCTCCACCACAGCTGGTGCTGTTGCAGCCTCTGAGACCTTCCACACACCAAGACCCTGGAGAGGCACCGAGGCTGTGCCACCCCACGGAGAGGCCCAGGGGCAAAACCCTGAGCCAGAGCCCACTGAGCCCCCTGCTCCCACAGGATGCCAGCCCCCAGGGCCCTACCTCGGAGGTGCAGTCGTCGAAGCGGACCTGGTACCCCACGAGAGTGCCCAGGGCACAGCCCATCTCCTCGGCCACCCGCTGCGCCACCGACATGGTGGCAACGCGCCGGGGCTGGGTGACACCGATGGCCCCGTGCTTGGCCAGGCCTGCGGAGAGCACAGAGTCACACAATGGTTTGGGCTGCAATGGACCTTAAAGATCATCTCGTGTCAACCCTCCTGCCATGGGCAGGGACACCTCCCACTACCCCAGGTTGCTCCAAGCCCCGTCCAACCTGCCCCTGGGCACTTCCAGGGATGGGGCAGCCACAGCTTCTCTGGGCAACCTGTGCCAGGGCCTCACCACCCCCACAGGGAAGAATTTCTTCCCAATATCCCATCTAACCCTGCCCTCTGGCAGTGGGAAGCCATTCCCCCTGTCCTGTCACTCCAGACCCTCGTCCAAAGTCTCCCTCCAGCTCTCTAGGAGCCTCTCAGGTACTGGAAGGCCGCATTAGGGTCACCCCAGAGCCTTCTCCAGCTTGAAAGAACCCAAGTGATCTGAGATGAACTGGGACACTGAGGTTATACAGAATATTCTGAGTTGGAAAGGACCCACGAGGACCATCGAGTCCAACCCTTAAGTGAATGTCCCGGACAGGGATCGAACCACGACCCTGGAGTTATCGGCACCGTGAGCTGTGCAGCTCCGAGTCAGCTCGCACACCCTTACCTACACAACATACACATGGCAACAGGGGTTTTATTTAAAAGGTCCAATCACCCTCCTCTCAGCACAGCCCAGCCCGAAGCTGAGGGGACACGGAGGACTATCCGCGTTTATCCCTGCTCATACCCCACCCTAGGGGGCCCGCGGGGAAGGGGGTCCGTTACCTGCCTCGAAGAGGTACCTGGGCAGCTGCGTGCTCTTGCCGCTGCCCGTCTCGCCGGTGACGATGAGGAAGGGCCGCTCTCTCACGGCCTCCACCAGCTCGCGGCGGGAGCGGCGGATGGGCAGGGCCGGGCTGTCCATGGTGGGGGTCCCCGGGGGGGTCGGGGGACCCCCTGGAGACCCCCTAACCTGGGGACCCCCTTCACCTGCCGGACCCCCCTCACCTGGAGGGACCCCCGGGGCCCTCACGGAACCCGCCGCTGTTTACGCGCCCATCGCGCGTGCGCGGCCCGGGCCACGCCCACTCAGGCCCCGCCCCCTTCTCCCCTCAGCGCTTCGCCTCGGCTCAGAGTCTTAAATCGTAAATAAACTCACAAATATAATCATAAAATCACAGAATATTGAGGGCTGGAAGGACCTTAAAGCTCACCCAGTCCTAACCCACCTCCGAAAATACATTTCTGGCAAAGTTTGAGCCTTGAGTCCGCCAATTAAGGTCCTGTTTAAGCGATCCTGATTAAAAGACACACGTCCTGCCGCTCTCAGGTGAGGATTTCATCCTCACACCAAAGTTTTTCCTCTTCTGTGTGAAAAGCGAGAAATCTGTGCCGACTGCTGCTTACGGTCAAGGATTTTTCCTGTTGCTGTTTAATCACTTCCACTAACAGTGCTAATTGTTCTTCACAGTTCTTACACTTCCAAAGCTAAGATTTAAATGTTTCAGTGGAATCGACGCAATATTTCTCTTTAAAAAAGTCCTCTGGAGCTTATACAGCCCGTCACGATAACCCGGATGACACTGTAAAAGTTTTGGAGTTGCATTGCAAAATATGGTATTTGGTGTCTTGTATTGCAAATTTGTTGATAGAATTAGAATTGCCTTGTTAAAGTTTAGGGCTGGACGTGCTTCAACGACCTCAGACCTAGGGCAGGGTTAACAAAGCTTGGAAAAAAAGGATGTCCACTGATAGTGGACACGAAGAATGCGGAATTTATGGGACATCTGGCAAAACTCCCAAGGAGAGGAAGAGACTAATCAAGGCAACTCTGAAACCGTGCTGAAATCAGCTCCAGCTGGGTAAAAACCAGTTCTGGAACCACTGACCCAAGAAACCCACCGACCCAAAAGAAGAGAGAGACCGAGCATAAGAATAATTAGTGTGAGAAGCGAGAATCATTAACCAACAGAAGATAGAGTACTAATTAACAGGAGAACTATGTAACTTGCAGCCAGTGAACACTAATTCCTTTGTTTGCCAAAATGTACAAAGAGTGAAGAGTATTAATAGCTGTGGTGCTGGATTTGTGGAATTCCACCGAGCGCCTGGCTCTGAAATAAATAACCAGTGTCTCTCTCGAGCTTGTTGCACAGCGGGTAACAAACCCGATTTTTGCTGACAGCAGTAGCACCAAAACTCCGTGTGATTAAGGAACTAAGGTGCCACCTCTGCAGCACCGTCTGTGGATTCACATCAAGCCTGAAGGTGGCAAGCGCTGAACGCTGAACACAAACCGGCCCCAGTCCAGCTCCCAGTGTCTGTGGTGGCTGCAACTGAACCCCGTCTGTGCCAAAGCACGGCTTTTGGGGTGTGTTTTGTCAGGGTCTGCTTCCCTCACACGCCCTGGATATGTTGTTTCACCCTCCATTAGGCTCTATCAGTGACAAGAATCACACAATAAATTTATTGTCACACCAGGAGTGAATTCAGGCCACCCACTGGCTCCAGTTACAACAAATCAATTTTTACCTCTGGCACAATGAGATGAATACTTCCCCACTGGGAACATGCACTCTGATAGAAGATGGTCCAAAAGTTGCCACCTTCAGCTGTGTCTAACCTATAAATATTTGTTTCATCTGTCAACAAACTGGCATTGTAAAATCCCCCAGATAAGCTGGTTTTCTTGCCCTTCCTTACAGAGAAGAGACAACATTGCAGTAACTGTTTCATTACAGCACCACAACTAAGAGAGATTCCTTTAACCAACCCATAGCTCTGTTCCCTCAGGTACACAGTGGAATGTGCCAATTCCCTGGATGTTGTTACATCCCTTTATGGGAAATACCATATTTATTGCCTCATGATGCCATGTTGCCACTGGTAACTCACAGCTCATGGTGATCATATACACATTGGAAACTTCAAACACATCCTCATTACACTTTCTTTGTGTACATTTACTAAGAAATATTTAATGGTTTCAGTAGATTCATATTTAAGCATGTATGTGCTCACATTTGCACAGTCTGCTTGACTTTATTTAAATCACATACTGCTTTTGGCAGACATAGGCCTAGGTAAGGTTTTTCCATTCTCTTTTTTTGTCCTCCTAGTCTGGAAATAGCAGATTTGGATTTAATCAGCCTCTTTGCAGTCTTGAACTTTGTCCTCCCGGAATACAGTGCCATTCATCGAAGGATTTCCCTCTGCCTAATAAACATTAATGAATCCCACTTTACAATTCCCCTGTGATCTTATCTCAGTTTCACAGATGGGGAGAACAGAAACAAATTAAGGGGTCTGCACACACCACAAATCAAAGGCAGAGCTGGGGGAAGGACCCAGGAATCCCAGCACAATTCCCTGCTCCAATAACTGAAAAAAGGTGTTTCTACCCGTGCAGCTGCTCTGGCAGTAACTCCATCACACAGGGCAGCACCATCACCCTCAGGCAGCCAGGAAGTCTGAAACTGCTCTTTTCCTAAGGTTCTGCTTCCAACAGAACTGCAAATTCCATGGGGTGATAGAGGGCTGTGGCTCCGCCAGCTGCTTCTCCCGGATTATCCCTGAGGATGTCTTTATTCCCTTCTGAGCAGAGGATATCTTTTCTTTTCTGATTAGCAGAGATCTAGCAGGATATGGGGAATATTCCAGTCCCTACTGGTACGCCCATGGGTTTATCCATCTTCCCAGAGGAGAGCTCTGACTTCCTAGGGAATTTTCATCTCCTTGCTCTGGACAATATGGTCCATTCCATGATGAACATGGCATCCCTTGGTGCCCAGGAAGAAAACCACATTTATTAATTACACTGAGCAAGGGAAGACAGATAATTGCCTTGTGCCTGGAATCTCTAAGTAGGGCCACTTTCTAGAAGAACCATCCCCGAGCTGTGATTTCAGCAGAGACAGAACAAACCAACATTCCCTGCACTCCTGTCAGACAAGCAGCAGTTTCTCTGACAGCCAGGATTTTTGTGGCACTGGCTGTGAGTCATTATTGAGGGAGTGTTATTCTTAAAACAGAGGAAGAGTGCTGGAGAAAGGAGGTGGTAGACAGAAAAGAACCAAACCCCCTTTCACAGCTCCATCTGCTGTCTTACAGTGCCTTTGCTACCAAACATTTACAAATTGACAAGTTTCATTTCAAATTTTGCTCCGCTTCTTGAAAATTGCTTCTTTTTGAAGACAGAATCAGATGACATAGCCTTTCTCTTATATAATGAATAGATTTTCCCGGTGTGTAGCTCCATGGAAAACAGCAATTTCTACAGTGCAGCCTTCTGCCAGGACAGCCAGGTTCCTCCTGAGCGCACTCACAGGTTCCTGCTAAAAGAGGCTGCAGGAAATGCGGCCCTGACATCAATCTGCTCTTCTGGTTTAGCCTGGTTTGTTCTGCAGGGGGCCAGGGAGAGTGTACGGCCAGATCCAGGTTGGGAATTGCTCTGCTGGGATAAAACACAGCTATTCCTGAGCCAGGAAAGGATTTGCAGCTCAGTCTGTGCTGAGGGCACGTCTCAGCCGCAGCACCGGGCACGACACAGCCCCTGCAGAGGCTCCTCAGCCACATCCCCCAGCACAGAGGATGAGAGAACTGCCACAGCAACTGTCTGTCCTCCTGCTGTTTGCCAGGCAGCCCTGCACAGCTCCTGCTGAAGCCTGAACCCATTCCCATTCCAGCTGGTCCCAGGGTGCTGGAGCTGCGTGTGCTCATGGCCACAGCCCTGACCCGCCCTCAGTCAGTCACACTCTCAGGTCTCTGTGCCCCAGTTCTGCAAATGTTTCTGCACAACCATCATTGCATTCAGCACAAGAGACCTGCCATGCTCACTGCCAGCCTAAACTGATGTTCTTAAAAACCTCTTTTCTCTTTAAAATTGGTCTGTGATGGGCTAGCGAATGACTTTGTTCATTTACCTCCCCCTCCATGTCTGCAGCACCCTTTTTAAATTTAGCTCCAGTGTTTATCTACAGCTGTTTCCGAGGCCACAGCCATGAATGATTGCTGCTCCTGCCAGGTGCAGGCATGAATAAAAAGGTCAGGGCTGGGGGGAGGATTAAGCCTTGGCTCAGCTGTTTGCATTCTCACACAGAGCACGGGCTGTCCGTCCATCTGTCTGTCAGCCGCACGCACGACCCAGACAGGTGAGGAGCTCGGGGCTGGAAACAATTCAGTCACGCTCCCACAAAGCCACCGCCGAAGATTTGAACCCCCTCTCTGCGGTTTAAAAAAAGCTTTTCCAGCAAATCCTCCGAGCGGCCCCTTGGATGAGTGAAATTATCCCTGCGGGGATATATAAATGCAGGATGGCATGGGAACGGTCTCCCCGGAGACTGGGGAAGGGAGGATCGGAGAATACCTCAACCTTTAAATGGTGTCTGAGATTTTCGTGTTAAATTGGAACATTTTCTTCCCACGTTTGCCCAAGGAGATGAAGGAAGGCGGCTTATGGGCACTTAGCACATACACTGAGAGAAAACAGGGAAAAAATCCGTGAGGCATGGACCAGACCCACCCCCCTGGATCCCCACCTGAAGTATTTCACTGATTCATGGCCTTTTGTACCTCCAGAAGTGAAAGCTGTGGCTATTTTGAGACCTTCACATGCTTGCTCTTCTGTTACAACCCATGGGAGGCTTCTACCCTATTTCTGTATATTAGACATCATTTCTCTCCTGACTTCCTTATCAAATGTGAAAAACAATCAATAATTCACTCAGGCTCTACATTCCCATCTGAGTGCACTGCAGCTGTGATTTAAATGCATTTCCATGACTGTAAAACAGGCAGATATCCTGAACTGTCCTTTTGTACGTGACAGCACCTCCTGCCATCCAAAGGAGTTTTATTTCCCCAGCTGTTAAATCTGGGACAAAATACTACTCTTTTGTTCTATATTAAGACCACGGAATAACAGCAGCTGACTTCCCAACCTCTGTCCTCGTGGACAGAAGAATTAACCCCTGGCATGGGCTTTTCTCATGATAAGACATTAAGAAAAGCCAGATCTCCTTAATGCCTTCCTTTCCCAGGGCCCTCACCACAGACTGTAGC